AGGTTTTACAGAATACAAAGCATTACAGGGAGAAGGGGAGAGGAAAAAACAAAACAAAACGAACTACAACCACCCACAAAACAATAAACCCACTTCCCCTCAAAAAAAACCCAAAAAACCCCACAAACAAACAAACAAAAAAAAACTTCCAAACAAAAAAAAACCCCACCAAACTTAATTTAAAAAATAAAATAAATAAATAAATCCCATGCCCTCTAAGTCACTTTTTCACCACAGGAAGCATTTTGCACAGAGTCTAAACATGATTATTGGGTACAATTTAGCTATGATGAACTAATCATATTTTGTATTCAACCCAGGATGTAGAATCACAGAATGGTTTGGGTTGGAAGGGACCTTAAGGATCATACAGTTCCAACCCCCCTGCCAGCAGCAGGGACACCTTCCACTAGACCAGGTTGCTCAAAGCCTCATCCAGCCTGGCCTTGAACACTTCCAGGGAGGGGGCAGCCACAGCTTCTCTGGGCAACCTGGCCCAGTGTCTCACCACTCTCACAGGGAAGAATTTCTTCCTAATATCTCATCTAAATCTACTCTTGTCCAGTTTAAAGCCATTTCCCCTTGTTCTATCACTAACTGTCCTTGTAAAAAGTCCCTCCTCACCCTTCCTGGAGCCCCTTCAGGTACTGGAAGGTCTGCCTGGAGCCTTATCCTCTCCACACTGAACAGCCCCAACTCTCAAATGTGGTTTACTTTATTTCTATACAGGGACACACACATTCACTTCATCCTCTTTTAAACTCAATACTGAGCACTAGGCAGCAAACAGCAAACTCTTTTGATATCAATCACTTTATTTTGGATATGAGATTATAACATTTATCACTACCAGAGTGACACCATCAGGATTGGAAATGTTCTCAGAGTAGACAAAAAGCAGCTGTTGGAGCATTTGGAGACTGGAAAGAAAACTAGTGGGAAAGGTAACTGGTGGAAATTAGCATTAATGGGTATAAAGAAGGAAATAATTATTTTCCATTCACATTTTTGCTAGCTTGTACAAAGTCTAGAAAATTGTGGAGGGGCAGTGAAGCACACGAACAGCGTTAAGGTCTTAAGCATTCGCAGAACAGACTTAGGACAAGCAAGATAAGTCCCTGTTCTGCCACTGTGGTTTACTTTATTTTCACATTTTACTGGCTAGTATCATTAATCTTGGTCAAATATTCTCTGTGAATCAATTTTAGCTTGTGAGATTCAGTGCTAAAGGTTCACCTTAAAGACTAAGCAGTAGAACTGATAGAGAAAAATTAAATACCTGTTTAAAAATTCAGCCAACCCCACAAAAATCTTCGTGAAGTACAAATGTCTGGAGAAAATGTAGATTTCATAAGGGTAATTTTAAAGTGCTGGTTAGAACACAAAGCCTCTAACCATCTCTACCTACTCTATTTTCTTGTCTTAGCGAATCAGCCCCTTCTATAACTATGCAGACATAGTCTACTTTATCATATAATATGTAATTATTCAGTTGGTTTAAGATTAGGAATTTTTTTGTTTGATGTCATAATCTGTGTTATGAGTTCTTCTATTTTTTTATTTTAAGTACTTGTTCAGCAATGCAACTTCTTCATTTTTCACAGCCATGTTAACTTGAGTAACGATAAGGAAGTTAAAACAACTTTACTGATGTAATTCATAGTATCTTCATCTTTGTAAAACATTATTTTAGCATCTTGGTGGGAAGCAGGCAACTCTCAACTCAAATTAAAAGCTAAAGTTAGTGGAAACATTCCACCAATGTTTTGCCCACTGATCTCATAAAACAAAGTGCTACTGCATCAAGTGGCCTTAAATCTCTTCATCTTAAAGGCAAAGATTATGGAATTAAAATCCTGAAGGATTTGTGGGCTGTGTTGGTTTTTCTTTTCCCCCTAAAGGAGTAGCACAGCTTTGGGATTTCCATCCCCATCTACTAAAGTGAGATCAAACCCTGCAAAGAAATAAGTGCTCATTCAGCTTTTTTCAACACTAGTACCTACTTATTTTATATGCAATTAAATACTTATACATATATACACAGCTTCAAGGTCGCCCACATAGAATACACAAGTTACTTTAGCAGCTGATTATTGATGGTACTAAAAAAGCAAGCGTATGAGACAATTTAGTAATTTTTTGTTTGTTTTCTTAAGTTCGCCTTCCCTATATTTTTCATCATTTTGTACATGCTGATCATATTTATTCTATTTTTCCCTGCAAATGTTCCAAATTTTTTCTGTGGGAGCTTCTATAGGACTAACATTATTGCCAGTCTTTTTTTCTTTTTCAACCACCCTTTAACTCCAGTATGATCCTTTAAAAAGGCAGGCAAAAAGCACTAAGCACACTCTAAGCAAGGTATAGCATTATGCAATAGAGCAGAACATTTTCTTTCTATTTCTTTATTTAAATAATCATTTTCACTATCAAAAAAACCCACTGGTATGCACTAGGTATTGCATTAAACTTCTATTCAGAAGTGAGTGTTTACTGAGTGTTTCATTTCAAAGATGATAATGAACATTAATTGTTCACACAATGTTTGCTAACATCGACTGTCATTTGCTATCACACTACCCATGCACTCATGACTTTCTAATCACTGACTAATGCCTAGAACTCCTCATCTATGAGGACATTTCATATTTGGTGCTACAAGGAGGACAACAAATCTTTTGATAGATCTTGGTATGAGACAAAGACAGAAGGAAAATATACAGAAATAATTGCATAGGCAGTGGTGGTATTAAATTAACCACTAACTTGTCATGGACATCAGGAAAAGCATAATAAAGCAGTCATTCAGTACTGACAAGAGTTTTTGCTGAATGGATGAATAGTGAATGCTCTTTCTTATCCATTACTCAAAATTCCATTGTAGCCTGGATGTTAGGACCTAAAGAAGCCTGAACCAAAGACAACAACCTAGACTACAGGCCCAGAGGAAAAGCAGATGAAGCTGTCCACAGTGAGCTAAAACAGGAACAGCAACAAGGTCCAAGGAAACAGTATCAGCAGCAAAACTGCAGTGGTGTTCAGCCAGCAATATGTGACGGAATGTCACTGACTGACATCAGAACAACTAGAGGTTTGGAAAGTAGGAGGGACAAATCAAGTGAAGGCTGGCAGACAGGCAGTTCGGTTTCCCAGGGCAGGAGATACAACAGCTGCATGGAAATCACAGAAAAGCTCAACTGAGACAGGAAGAGGGAGGTAGATACCTGGTCTGCAGGGGAACTAGTAGCAGCAATCTCACTGGGCAGCGCTTGCTTAACATCCAAATCAGCAAACGGTCCCTCTGGTGAGCAGGAAATTTAAGGACTTTGCCAGGTCACCAACACAGAAATTGAAATCACTAGTGTTGAGTGCCACTGAGTACAAACAGAGGGGAAGTGCCAAGGGAGAGAACAGCAGTAATGCATCTTTCACAGAATTATATGCTAGGGCTTTACTAATATTCTTTTTCTATTTAGTAGTTTTAAAATATTTTTTTTCCTATTTTATTTAATCAGAAATGAACTTAAGTTTATTTTGAGGCCAAATTAAAAAAAAAATATATATTTTTGTTGCCACAAAAACAATGTTTTTAAATTCTTTTGTCAAGGATCTGCAGGCAAATCCTAGGGAAAAAAGTAATCTCATGATGAACAGCAGAACAATAATTTTAAGAAATGCTGATAAACATCAGCAAAATAGCTTGGGTTAGCCTGAAACAATATTTTGGAAAGTACACATTTTGAGCAAAAAAATTTAACACAGCTATGTAATTCTTACTTATGTGGGGCTGGAAATTATTTCACTGTAAAACTGTGCTGTTGAAAAAAAAAAAAAGTATGCAGATAGTTTATTTCCTTCATAATCTCCAAAAGGACAATAGCTGTAACTAGAAAAATATCACTGTCTTTGTTGCATTCTGCGAAGTCACAGAATGCTTCCAAAAATGAGAGATTAAACAGACTAAGACTCTTCAGTTTGAGAAAAGAGCTGTCAGATAAGAGAGGAAAGAATATAATAGGATTCTATAAAATCAAGGGTGGCATAGAAAAATGAACATAAAGTAACTATTCATTGTTATACAAGGACTAGGGAATCAAGTGACATTAATAAGTTTCTAGAAGAAAAACAGAAGCATGTTTCAACATAATGTGTAATTAAAACAGTGGAACTCATTACCACAGAGTGCTGCAAATGACAAATATAAAAATGTAAAAAATAAGCTGGATAAATTCAGATCCACGGCCAAGACTAGAAAAAATATATATATATATTTTTTAATTAACTTACCCTCAAGCGCTGCCTGATCATCCTATCCGAGAATTAGCTCCTTCAATTCTCTGTTTTCTACTGGAATATTTTAAGCTCCGGTCGTGCTTTCAAACCTCTCACACTTTTATATTAAATTTTAAACAGTAAAGCAAACGCTTTATTCTGCTTTCTGCACACCTAAGCCCTTCCCTGAGTTGGCCAGGAAACACAACTAGGCCTCTAAATCATTAGTCTTGATTCAGCCAAGTACATAGTTACCTAGTTATCTTTTTAATTTCCACAATGACAAGAAAACAACTACATTCAGCCAAAAACTTAACTTTACTGAGTAAGGCTGTAGTGAGAAAATTAAACTGTTGTTACAGTATTGAGTTAACTACTCTGGATTTTATTTATTTATTTATTTATTTAAACTGTTCACTTTACTTTCAGACAGGAGAAAGAATTCAAGTGATTCAAGTGATTCAAAATGCAACTCCATCACAGTGGATTAATATACACCTTTCAAAGAACACCAGATTCTAACTAAGTACCTTTTTGGTCTTTCATCCTATCACTGGTATTACATTTAAGCACAAGAGTTCACTTCTTAAAAGAAAGGTAGGAAAAGGAAAGCAGTTTGCTTCTTTTCTCAGATCTTGCAATTTTATTGCAAGAGATAAAGGCCAAAGAGGAGATCAAATTAGTACATCAACAACAAGAAGTAAATGGTAGGAATCCACCAAATCTACCTGGATGGCTGCCAGGTTCTTCTGTTCCTGTGATGGAGCCTCATGGACAAAACGCAGCCAATTGGAATGGCGTGGATTGCTTGCATCCAGGATGTAAAGGACCTCACCTTTATTCCCACGGACCTGAAACATTTTAAAAAAAATAAAAATAAAAATCAATCAAAATTAAAATTGTTTACCAAACACACACAAACATCTGAAACACTAAGGCATGCTTGTGCTCAGCAAGTGAATCTTGCATTCAATAGGTACCCACAGCTGTGGTGCACATTCACCTTTTCCATAAGCATATCTATTCACCTCAGAATAGGGGGGCAACTGAAATCCACCAATTGGTGTCAGCTTCCTCTGTTGAGCTCCCCCTCTCTTTTCTTAGCCTTTCCTTCAGCAAACTAGTATTATGACTGACTCCTGGGTCTCTCTAAATCTGACAGTATGGTCACTGGTGCTCATGTCCTTTCCTCTCTCTTTGTTCCCTCATGTCATCTTTTTCTTCGTGACCTTTCCAGAAACCGATACAACCTGAGAGGTCCTTCCCCATTCCAACCTTATCATTCCCTTCCCAGTTTTCTTTTCTGAGTTCTCCTTCACACGTTCTGATGCCACCATTTTACTCCTACAGTCTGCCTATCTCTTCTCATACCTTCCTGTCTTTTGTCATTCAGTCTCTCTCTCATCACTTTCTCCAAATTAAGGTTTTAAGCTCTCCTGTCTCCAATTCCTTTTCCTTTCCTCACAGCTCACTATTGTCTTATCTTCCTTCTCCAACACGCTGTCCAAGAGCAGATCATTTTCTTCTGTAACCTATACATGTCCTCTAACTCACTCCTCAACCCACTTTGCAGCATTTCTTTTCTGCTGACACTACAGACAAGGCCAACAGTAACTTAATTCTGGACAAAAAGGGTAGGACAATCTTTTCATCTTGTGCTATTCCAACCACCATTTGGTTCCAACAGCTGAGCCTGAGTTCAGGCTTTTGTTTGTGATTTTCTGTACTCCTGCAGTCACTCATGTCCACATGGTGATCTTTGCCTTCACAGTTCTTCACCCTTCATTTTCTTTTTTCATTCCTGATATTGTTCTAGACTCGCTTGTCTTTTGCTCATTGTGCTCTAGCAGATCCTATCACCCTCTACAGCCAATTCCTACATTCATCTATTTCTGCCTACTTTCACATTTCCAGAAGCATCTCAACCTTAACCATTATAAACAGAATATGTCCATATCTGAATTCAACTTTTCCACTATCTTTGCCCCTTCCCTCTTCTGTAATATTACCAGCTGCTCAACCAACTTCCAACTTGCATTACCAGTTCTGTCTCCATTCCCATCCCCACTACTCCATCACTAAATCCTCTTTTTGCTTATCACCAATTATAACTTTCCTCCTTCACATAAGTTCCAAATCTGGTAGATATGTTTTCATTACTCTTAATTCTTACTGCCCCACACCAATCCTAAATATCCCAGAAACTTATAAAAACACTTACTGAAAACTATATTCCTCATTTCCCTCTGAAGTCTTCCAGCCTCAGCAAATAGCAGTCAGTCTTAAACTACACCTGGCTGAAATTTTATCAAAATAGGAGATTATTGCAGTAAATAAATTAGTATACTATGTAGGTGAAAGGCTGTAAATTATTTAGTAAAGGAAACAAACATGTTCAGGTTTTGTCCACTAAGTGAAGAAGCCACTTTAAAAAACTAATTGTGCACACAAGATACGTCCTCTCCGTATCAGAAGCTTTTGGCTATCACTACAGATCCATAAAATTTCTATGACTGTGACAAAATTCCATCTTACATTAAAAAAAAAAAAAGAAAATAGAAATAGAAACTCAGTACCAACCAAGTCATTCTTCCCTCTCGAAACACAAAGACATGCTGCTGAAAAAATACAGCTGCCACTGCCATAGCAGAAATGGCTTGTTTTGTTTTAAATACTAACTCACTTGAATCTCCACTGATACAGAAGATAGAGAGCCATGCAGAAAGGTCACACAGCCACACTATTATTCCATGTGATTTATTTATATAATGAACATATTTTCTTTTTCATCTGTCAACAAGAAGTATCTAGAGCAGGTATTTCCTAAGAGCTAGGGATTTCAGCTATTTCAGATCAAAATTAGATTGTCTTCATGGCTTTGTATTTAAATTGCTCACATTCTTGCTATATTTGTTTCCAATAGATGTACTATCATATTTCTTCAATATGGCTACTTAAATTACCTAAACATTTAGGATATCATTAGAAAGAAAAAACTGTATTCCATTACAATAATAGCTGGTGACAGCATGTTGTTCTCAGATCAAAACAAAAAACCTACTGTAGTTCTGCAAACAAATAAAAGTCTTCAACATTTATTACTGTTCTTCCAAAGGAAAACATCATATCTTAAGAAGGACACATCATGAAAAAGTGCCAATATTTCAAACTTTACAAGTTGTTTTACTTATAATCACACATTAACCACAGTGAAAAGTATCAAACCTACATATTTAAATGTACCTGGAAAGAACATTATTTAACACTAAGCACTGCAATGGGTTTCCCAGAGAGGTTGTGGAGTCTCCATCCTCAAAGATGCAGACACTCAAAAGCTGTCTAGACACAATCTTGGGCAGCTGGCAGTAGTGGACCAGATGACCTACAGAGATCCCTTCTAACCTCAGCCATTCTATCATTCCGTGACTATCACCTTGGGAAGCAATGCCTGCTCATTATTGGAACCCTGTTTTCATCAGGAACATGGGCAGAATGAGTGCAATCAAACCATAAAAGCAAGCTCCACGTTTACACAAAAACGCATGCTAACAGTGTATGTACTTCCTGAAAAGCCACCTGCCAAGCAGAAGCGCTGCACTGATTACACTGTAATAACCACCCAGTTGTAACAGGTAATCCACAGAGCAGAACCTCACTTTGAGGGAAAATAGTTAACATTGCAGATTAGGATATTTGAGTAATTAAAGTCAAGGTAATGGCTTTATGATTTAGCTACCGAAGTACAGGTTATAGAAACCTACCATGTAGATCTTAGAGGTTTCCATCAGATCTTGACTTGAGTTGGCAAGAGAAGGAATCAATACCCTATTATAAAAACCATACATTACAGTATCTACCTTTTCATCCATCCTTCTTCATTTGCTTAGTCCTTAAATAATGTAAGAATAGTTTATATTCATTTCAATGATACACAATCATCTCAGTTGTGCTTTCTCAGTCTCTGCCAATCCATAAGAGATACCAAACACAAAGCAAAGACTTAACACAGACTCACAGAACCACAGAATGTCAGGGGTTGGAAGGGACCTCAAAAGATCATCTAGTCCAATCCCCCTGCTGGAGCAGGAACCTAAACGAGATTAAACAGGAAGGTGTCCAGGCAGGTTTTGAATGTCTCCAGAGAAGAAGACTCCACAACCTCCCTGGGCAGCCTGTTCCAGTGCTCTGGCACCTTCACAGTAAAGAAGTTTCTTCTCAAGTTTAAGCGGAACCTCCTGTGTTCCAGTTTACACCCATTGCTCCTTGTCCTACCATTGGGCATCACTGAGAAAAGCCTGGCTCCATCCTCCTGACATTTGCACTTAACATATTTAAAAACATTAATGAGGTCTCCCCTGTCTCCTCCAAGCTAAAGAGACCCAGCTCCCTCAGCCTTTCCTCATAAGGGAGATGCTCCACTCCCTTAATCATTGATAAAAGAATACAATAAATCCCTTAAAGACGTGCTATATTTTCCATTGCTTTTTTCACCTCGTAAAGAAATATTGCTGCATCAAATACACAGATGTGGAGAAGAAAAGTCAAGAAAAACAGTCAAAACTACTTAACACAGACTAGACTGGTGACATTTACCACTCCCTTTTTCGCTGGAAAAAGGCAACCAATCTTTGAGCACTACAGTAGTTAATCCCAAACTTAATCAATATTTCCAACAAATCAACAAAAAGAGAGATGTAACAAGTTCAGATTAGAACACTAGCACCTCAACCTATCAGCGCGGGCTTTCTAACATTTTAAGTCAAAGTCACATAACTGAACATGTGATTCTCAGTCACTTTTGGGAGTATTCTTCTCATCACCAAAACCAGAAGATCATTAAGGTGCCTGTTCCAAAAGTCACTAAAATTAATACAAAGTCATATACATAACATGAATAAAGAGGACTAAATCAAGCTTTAAAAGAGGTGATTAATGAAATTTAGCTAAATAAACAATCTGGTAAGAATATTAATAACTACTTTGGACACCTGTCTATCCCAGTGGGGATTAATTCAACAAAACTGAAAATCTAGGATGCAAACTTGCAATTGAGATAGGGCATCAATGTCTGACTGCTATGTGTGGCAAAAGTTACTTTAAATGCAACCTGTATAAAAATGCATCCAGATGCATTTGTCAAAAAAGAGAGAAAAACAAAAACATTTCTGAAAATTAAACAAAGATTTACATAAAGACATTAAAAGCAAACTATTTTAAATGTAAATACTACCTGAGGAATAATGACTAGGAAGGTAGTCTTCACACAGAAAAAGAATAAAAACTACATTGTTAAGAACAAGATTTGTAATATTACATTCACCTTGAGAGCAAACACAGGATTCCTCAAAATTTATTTTGTCATGAAACTCAGGACATAATTCGACTTAATGCCTTGTATATAAAAGCATTCCTATGCCAGAACCACATTTTACAGGCAAGATATCAAATAAAAATATAAAAAAAAACCCCACACCACATCACCATTAGCTTGAAGTGTTTGACTTCTCATACCTCAGCCCTAAACATTAAAGCTCTGATCTAAAGCTGGTTGTAGCCAATGGCAGATTTTCCATTGCCTTCACTAGTTTCCACGTAGGTTTATTTAACTGAAAACAATTGCCATTGCAAAAGTGATGACAGTTAAGTAATAGAAACTTAAGTTCATTTCATTTTGTCAAAGAAATAAACGTGAACATTAGCTTTCATTGAAGGACTGATTTCCAGCATGTTTCTGTTCTTCTCGGTTTTAATATAACAATAAAGAAAACATAATCTTGGCAGATGGACAGAAACCAAACCTGAAATATGTAACATTCAGCATTACAGAACGTATTGTGTGCCATCCCATCCTGACCAACTTTCTTCGTGGTATGTCAGAGTATTTGAAGAAGGACTAAGTCTTTCCAGCCCTCCCTGTTTTAACGTTTGCCAAAGTCATCACCAAAAGTATATGCTTGCCACAATCCAACAGTACTGAAATGAATGCCACTTTCTTGGTTAGGAACAATAACGAAAATAAACTGAACAGATATCTTCCCTTTGCAAAGGGACATCTGAGAGTCCAGAGGTAAAAACTTGTTACCTTTAATACCTAAAGATTGCTCTGTTCTTGCCTGAAAGCACTTGTTCTTCCAGCAAATACACATAATTTAAAATTGCTATGCCAAGTACACTAATACAGACCAAGGAAGCAGTATTTAATCAAGGTGTTAGCAGAATGCTAAGAGTAAGAACAAAACTCTCAATTAATCACCAGCAACCTACTTAACTAGTACAACAAACAATGCAGTCCGAGTAATAAATGACATGGAGGTTGGGGGATAGCAGGGAGGTGGTTTTTTGACAGAAAGAAAGAACAAGTACAAATCCAGTTGGACATTTTCTTGGCTTTTTATTATTACTCCTAACTATATGGTTACCACAGGTTTGGCTTTTTTCCTTCTCACATCACTCGTAAATAAAACATTTCAGCACGTAACTCTTTGCAAAGATAAAAGCAAGATCAAGGATGATTCCCCCTCCCTACCCCAATTCTCTGGAATCTGTTGAATGAGCAAGTGTAAACCTCTGATTTCTTCAAAACTATGCAAGCTCCAGGCAGACTAATAGCATTCTGCTATATTTAATTTAAACACAAACTCTAACATCCTCAGAACTTTATTTAACAAAATCACTGGACCCAATAAATTTTTTGGGTTCCATGTTTTCCCAAAGACCAAAAGAAAACATAATGTGTATAATTCTGTCTCAACATGACATCTTAAAGATGCCAACTCACAATGCTGGTCTCGGAGAAAAAGGAATAGCTTGATCAAAACAGACCACATCACAGACCACAACTCTACACAACTAGAAATGCATGTGGTAAACTTCCTCACACAAAGCTATTCCACAAAATTGAAGCTCCGATCCCAGGCATCACATACCAAGAACTGTTCCATTAATGTCAATTTTTACTTGACTTACAAAAAACCCTCTACTACTCAGCCTTCTTTCTAAAGGTATGCTCTCTGAAAATGCCTTTTTTTTTTTTTTTAACTGCCATCAGGCTTTAGCATGCCTTCATCCAAGAGTCTTGAAATTATTTTTAATATCTTTGGTACAGCTGACTACACACAAACTTGGCTAGTTGCTGTGACTGCCTCCCACAGTCTCTGGAATAACCATCTACTTGGACTGTTCCAATTTTTTACTTTCTGCATTCCTAGTCTCTATTTTCAACTTAAGACTACTCACAGCATGATTTAATTTATATTCTAAAGCTCACTTTCAGATCAGCGTCAGTAAATATGAACAACTTGGGTTCAAACATTCAGGAAGTCATAAAATTTGGTATGCAGGAATCTTTTCAAGGCTCTCAAAACTAGGTTACAATAAGATATTATGAAACAGTTTTTAGAACAGCTCATAAAAAACTTATTTTCTGATTTGCTGTTGATGGGGTCATATTAGTGTCATCAGTAAATACACGCATTTGTCTTTTATTTTCTGTCTTACAGAAACAGATAAATTTCATTTAATTATCAGCAATGAGGCATCTGGAAAATCATACAGCTTTCCAACAAACTTAAAGACCCTCTTGTTGCTACAGTCCACCCACTATCCTTTCTGAAAACCTTGTTCTACCTGAAGTATTTTTCTGATTTAAAATAAACCAGCAGAAACATCATGAAAAGGCAAGTGAGCCAGGACACATTAACATGTACTGTATTCAGCAAACATTTGTATTAAAAGCACATTGTAATGTTTTGTTTTCAGCTGAGAACAAAAGATGAAACCAGTTGCTCTGAGTACATAACCAAAGGAAAGAGGGGGATAAATCATCCACACCTCCTCTCTGGGAAAGGATATTTTGGGCACACCCTTAGACTAAAAAAGAAAGGAAAAAAAAAAGGAAAGAAAAAGGGAAGGGGAAAAAGAAAGGCACATGGATTCACAGGCTTGATGTCACAGTCATCTAGGAACATTCTGCCACTCATATGGAGTTTGGGTTTAATGTGATGATGGGCTTTTAGCATTCTCTTACTTGTTGTTCCAATGTGCAGAATTTATTTACAGCTCTGCTAACATCATATCAATAAGCTGCTCAGCAACGTTAATGCTAGAGGGGTTGTTTTTCAAATAAACATTTATCTTGCAATAAATGCACAGACAACAGACTTTTTTTGTACAGTGCCACACAACATAAAAATAAGTCATCCTTCCACCTCTCACCATAGAAAGGTGAAAAAGAAGGAAACAAGTCCCCTCCTCACTGTAAAACAGGACTAAATATGCATTCAATAGAAACTGTTTGGCTGTGGGGGGAAAGAAAAGAAAAAAAAAGGAAAGGAAAGTAATTCTGCTCAAAGAACCACAGCAGAAAAGAAAGATTACAAAGATGGAACAGAAGCACTGAAAAGCAGGTGTTTATAACCAGCTGGAAATGTTATTGCAAGTATTTTCCAATTAGTGTAATCTCCTCAACTAGGTAAACTGAGACAGCTTTTCGCTACAGGCAAGCACAGCTATGACAGAAATTAGGATGGGTTAAGGACCTAATTACAAGACCTAGTGTATAAACTACTGTTCCTGCCTAATACATATAAAAACAAGTTTAGAAGAGCCCTGAAATTCCTTACGCCTTCATCTACCCACAGTTTTTATTTTGCTGAAGATCTCACAACTACACATTGCATTACAAAGTTGCTAAAATTTAAAAATTTCACTTATCATACAATTGCCAAACCCTAGCACAAATGTTTTCTATTACAGTTGGAGGAAGCTATGAGCTGACACCCGTTGACCAGCATAAATCAGTATCTCAGTAACTTACAACCATCCTGCAATATTCACATTACTTTATTTTTTTATTATTTTCACATTTTTCAAAAATTTTTCACTCTATTGTTATGTTTGGTTTGACTTGATATTTTTCACACTCCATTGATTAGAAAGTATCATTTGTTATTTCTTAATTGTTTTAAAGAAATCAATCCCCCTCCACTCAAAAAATATATTTTGAAAATCATCAGTAAGTACAAAATCTCACTACAGTATCTTTCAGCTAGAGGGGGAGGAGGGGAAGAATTTGTTACTGTAAAAATTTAATTCTGAGAACACTTTTTGCTAGGTGTGATGATGTCACTCTACACTACTCACTTCCCACCTGAGCCTGCAGTCTGTGTCTTCATCCAGTTCCTGTGGCATTCTCTTCTCCCCTGCAAAGGGGCCAAATTTTTCACCCTAAGGAATAATTATAAAGGAAAAAGAATTAGTGAAGGGAAAAAAACAAAAAACAAAGAAAACCCCACCACCAACAACAACAACAAAAAAAAGGCAAGTGAATTGCCAAACTCCAGCAGAGGTATCATTTTTAGCTTCAAGTGGAAAAGGACAGTTTTTCTTTGTCATCCTCCTATATGCCAAGAAGTTGTACATCCTTGAGGGTTCAACTTCAAGCCCATTCCCATTCTTTTCACAGCTTGGAGAATCTCTTAAAACCATACCTTTCCTCTACATGCTTGTCTCCCCTTTGGGAAATACCATTTTTCTTTATTTTAAATAAGGCTAAAATTTACAAGTCAAATTTCTTACATTTCTTATAAGATTTTCAGGAAACACCTTGCAATAGACATCCAATTAAAAAGCAAAGTATTTGGCAAGCACAAAGTTTACATTAGACTTATTTGCAAGATTATTTGCAATACTACTTTTTGAAGTGCCACAAATCAAAACACTGAATAACTGAGGTTTTGATCATACAGAGAGATTTGTTTAAAAATGGAAGGAGTATGCAGGTGCCTATGAATTAATTCAAGCCTTTGTAAACAAAACTAAAATGTTATACCACCTGCTAGTCGTAATACATGTTGTGAAAGCATCCACTGATATGTTCTTCTAAACTTTTTGGGTATCAGTGGGTTTTTTTCCCTTCACAGATGTCACACTAGCAGGGGGTAAGTTATTTAAACAGGACTTTCTTCTTACACAGGCCTAACTTATTTCCCCCTCACCTTGTCCTTATTTGCAGTGACAATTCCTACAAAGCAGAATGCAGACTGCTATGTTCCTTTCAGCACTATTCAGATCAAAAAGCTCTATATACTTTTAAGCATTAGAGATTATAAATGTATAATGAAAAGCAACTTTGGTGTTTCTTTTAAAATAACAGTATTTTGGATAATAAAAGTATCTTATCCACATGTCCCTTCCCCCAGGCACATTCCATGACCCCAGAAACAGCCTGCTTAGTTTTTACAGACTGTCTACAAGTAGAGTGCAGAGGAAGAAGTGGAATGGAAAACTTCCAGGATCATTCCTCTTAGAAACAACCAAATAAAAAAAAAAAAAAATCCTAGTTTTAAAATTAAACCTAAAGAGGTAATAAATAAAAGAAAATTTGCATTGCATAACAAGGCAACAGAACTGAGGAGCGATGATTTAAAATGTGCACAATGAAGATTTCATTAGAACAAACAGCAAAGCAGAAAGTAAAATGACAAGAACAGCAGAAAACAACTAAAGCCCAGAGCAGTAATCAAGATGCAAATATGGGCAATGATAGCAAAAACTGGCACTATGGGGCTTCAATTCCTTCAGTTCTCACTGATCTCCACACTCCCCTTCGTTGTTTTGCTAATCAAATGAGGTCAAGGTTTCTCTCCTGCCAGCTTTACAAATCTTGGGATTTAATACTCAAACTGAAATACCGTTCTTCTTTTACTTCCATCAGCCATGAAGGTGAAAAGAGGGCAATACAGTTACATGCGTGCAGCCATCAACGTTCTCAGCTTATGCTGAGTGCCACCCCAGCAAACACACTGCTGCCTAAGAGCACCCACACCAGTATTACCTAGGAGGCAATTTGCTCAGATTGCAGTTTGCTTTGATGAAGGAGGAAGAAGAGTCAAGATGGTGGCAGAGGAAATCCGCTCTGGAACTGTATGGTCCTCTCAGTAAAGACAAGGTGGGCCCTTTCTGGCATTGACACCTCCTGCCAGGCTGAACTGGCTTTTCCCAGTCACTTAGAAAGCAACAAGTAGTTTTGGTGTAACAAGGAAAATTGCTGAGCTCTAAGAGAAGGCGTAATTATATCTGCAGAATCTCTCATTACTCATAGCAATTAGCAAAATGAAAATAAATTTATTGGATTATAATCTAGATTAATTCTATAAAAAGAAAAGTAAAAAACCTCCATAAATTTAAAATGGAAAGAATTGCAGACATAATGAATAAGGAACCTGAAAAAGCTAGTTTCCCATACTCACTGCAGTGGCAGAATAACACTTTTGAAGAGAGCGTTAAGAGATTAATTTCTTCCTTAACTACTCTGGAGGCTTCCACAACCCTCACCTCCGTAATACTTTCATCCTTGCAATCCAAACGATCCCTAGACAGCTTATCAAGCACCTACAGGGTTAATTTTCCTCATCACTGAAGCACAGATCACCTCTGGCATGAAGTACAGCAACAGCTTAATACTGCATACTGACTCAAAACAAGAAACACCACACATCATTCCTACCTCAGCTACTCCAAACCAATACACCTCTACTGCAGCATGGTTAAGACCTTCTAGATGCTCAAAACAATAGCAAAAGCAAAAAGCAAGTTGTCCACCTCTAAATGAAAAGTAAATCTAACACAAACAGTAGGTGATTCAGACTTCTAGACACTTTTTATAGCTTCTCAAATTTGGAGAGAAAGCAGAAATTAGAAAGAGCAAACACCTGATGTCTTGGAACACAAAGGTCCATAGGAATAAATGTAATTATTCATTTAGCCTGTCAGAGCATTTTCTTCATATATATATATACACACACTAGTCTTAGTTAATAAACATGCTGCTATACGCCAAAATATATTGATCAAAAACATACTAAGACTTCAACTTCCTCGTGATCACAGTCTAAAGTCAACCAAAGAAGAGATTAAAGATATGAAAGACTTTCTTTTTTCAAGAAAGTAAGAAGTGACTAATCTTCCAGTCACAGTCAAACACTGAGAAATGTAGTGGCTCTCTGATGATTATACCAAAGGCCTTATGATGCTGGTGCTGTAACCAAAGGCCAGCTGTTGGAGAAAAGAAATTAGAAGAGAATCGGAGCTTTCCTTAAGGTAACAAAACAAAACAAAGTTTCCACCTTTCATGATTATACACAAAAGATTGGAAGCACAGCCTGAAGGCACAAAAGCAGATGGCAGACAACAGCAGCTCAAAATGTGTTATTACCAAAAGTTTGCTAATAGCAGAATTTCCAGAGGCCTACTTCATGATTACTTAGCACTTGGGGAGTTAGTACTGCAATTTCTGATTATCAGATCATCTGAAACATGTTTTACTTTGAGTTAAGACAACTGCAGTTTTGTGACAGCAATAGAGAGAAAATGGTGCAGTATTTTGCTACTCAGGAACATAAAATCTTCCTTCACAATTAAGTGTCATATTTAACATCTCCTCCCAATCCCAAAGCTCCAAGGAATTAATTTAACAGCTATTAGCTACTCTGTATCATAGCCATGAAGTGTAGTACTGCTGCCTTATTACTGGACAGGAGAATATGTTGAGAGCACTTCAGATATGGTTTTTCTTTACATGGAAGCATAACACAAAGTCTGGCTATAACCAGCACATCATCTGTGTTATTTACACATCCACCCTTCTCCGAACAGCTGTGGCAACACACAGTGCTTAGGTTTCCAACCATTTCTAGGAATATCTGTTTCAACTACTGCCCACAGAGCAACTCAAGATTTGGTTCCTCAGCCTATCAAAGTGCAAAGTCCGACTGTGAGACAACTTCTGATCGGGGCTTTGCATACCACAGCTGTCTGTGCTACCAGCACAGAGGATTCACTGCCAAACAAAGGACAAGCCTGTGGCAAACACTATCACCACACAAATCACTACCACTATCACAAATAGATCTTACTACAACTGCCTCTGCCTTTACCTTCTGCATTCCCCATGCAATACACGTCACACTTGCACCATTTCAGTTTTGCTAGGATGTCCTGTATGACACACTCACGTTGGCAGAGCTGCACAGGCAGAGCTCTGACAGCATATACTTTGCCTGTACAGAGTTCAAAAGCAAAGTGGAGTAACTGAGGCAAGAAAATGCTCTATTTTTCCTAGCATGCAGCTCTAATGGTTCAATTGACAACAGTGTAAAGGAAGGAGGCTCAGACCCTGAACTGACATTCAGAATTTATATTGACATGTGGATGATTATTTCCATGAGCTTCTCTCTGGAGCTTGCCCTGTGGTTTCAGAGTCCAGGGATTAATATACACTAGTAGTGTACAACTTTCCTTGCTGTGCAAACTCCTCAAGTTTTCAAATGAAAGTTCAGAATTTCAGTAGAAAAAAATTTAAACCAAGTGATATAAAATCGTTCCCCTTCCACCTCCCATTTACACTCTGGGACACCTCAAAAATGAGAGAGCCCCTACCCCATGGTGTCTAAGCCTTGTGGATGAAACCACTGAAAAATGAGGCAGCCATCCAAACCCACTCAGAGCCAAAACCAGGACAAAGATGGAAAGCAAAACATACAAAGTACACGTAAGCGTATCCTAATGCAGGATTCATAACTTTAGGTATGTCTTAATGTTTTAACAAGCCACCTGGATAGTTATAATTAATTGAGATTTCACATTATCAGGAGACTTTCAATTCAATTACATGGTGTCAAGGGACATGACCTGGTTGGAGTATGAGAAATCTGCAGCTCAGCTGCATCAGACCTTCCACAGGCCCCGGCTTTATCATCCCGAAACGACGAGTTAAATCATCATCCGTCCCACCGAGCCC